ACACCATGCGAGGTGCCCCAATCACCGACCTCGGCCTTCTGCCTGGCCTGCCCGGACTTCTGCTCCTCCTGCAGTGAGTGTGTGTGTGAGGATGTGGATGTGGGTGTATGACTATAAGTCTGCATGTGTGTGTGGGTGTGTGGGTGTGTGTGTGTCTGCGTCTGCCAGGCCTGCCCAGACTTCTGCTCCTCCTGCTGCTCCCCTTGCTGCTCCTCCTGCTGCTCCCCCTGCTGCTCCTCATGCTGCTCCTCCTGCTGCTCCTCCTGCAGTGAGTGTGTCAGGATGTGGATGTGGATGTAAGTGCATGAGTGTGTCAGCGTGTGTGTGTTAGGGTGTATGAGTGTGTGCATGACATGAGTGCGTGTGCGTGTGAGTGCGCATGTGCGCGTGCACCTATGCATGAGTGCGAGGTACCCCAGTCATCCACCTGGGCCTTCGGCCAGGCCTGCCCTGACTTCTGCTCCTCCTGTTACTCTTCCTGCTCTAGCTGTGTACGGAAGTGGGCGTTCGATTCTCATGTGTGCGTGCACCCCTGACCATCCAAACCCTGCACCAGCTACACTTCCCACCCATGACTTGACCATTATGTTCCTTTTTATCCCTCCTCTCCCTCTCCCAGCCGACCCCTGCACCAGCTACCCCTCCAACCCATGCGGCCCAGGCGACTGCATGCCCGCCTCCTAACCTCAACCTCTGTGTTCCCGTTTCTCCCTCCCTCTGCTCCCCCAGCTGACCCCTGCACCAGCTACCCGTCCAATCCATGCGGCCCAGGCGACTGCATCCCCGCCTCCTCTCCTCCCACTCCCGCGTCTGCTTCCACCAACAAGGCCCCTCGACCAGCCTCCACCACAGCTCCTAACAGCTCCTACACCTGCCGCTGCTCTGCGGGTGCTGCTGCTGCGGTGGGAGCCAATGGGCTGCCGACATGTGTGACTTCCCCCCCACCACCACCTCAGGAGCCATCCAGTGCAGTTGGTGAGTCCGTGTGTGCTCGTGAGCGAGCAAGTGAGTGAGTGAGTGAGTGGCCACGAGTTAGGAGGATCGTCAAGTGCTGTGGGATGTTGTCTGCATCTATGTTCGGAAAGACGCAGCTAGGACGCTGCGTCCTGCGTCCGGACGCAGCGTCCGGACGCTAGGACGCAGGACGCGCGTCCAGACGCAGGACGCACGTCGAAAAAATTTTCGGGCAGCCCGGAAAAAAAAATTGATCGCGATTTTGGCATTCGCGATTTCGACGCGAATTTCGAAATCGCGAAATTTCCCCACCCCAAGCCCAATTCGCCATTCAAAACCAGCCCCCCTAACATTCCCTAACAACTAAACCAAAATTGAATTTCACTCAAACCTCTCAACCACTTAGCATCTACGAATCCCAACCTTTGTAGCCCACCACCACCAAGCACATTTAGCATGGCAACCTTTTGTGGCGTGATGGTTGACTTGATGCAGTGCAGTGGTAGTTTAGTATGCATGGTCGTAAATGGTTGGATTAAACGTAATGTGTGTGTGTGAGGCCTTGTGAAATGTGTGACACGTGACTCACCTTAATCTCAAATTTTGGGGGAAGTTTATGCTAAACCCGGGAAAATTTTGTGGTTGGGGAAAATTTTGTGGTATGACACCCCCCCCCCCCCCTCTCCCAAGCCCTATACAACTTTTTTTGGCCTGCCCAGGGGTTTTTTTTGCCCTGCCCGGCCTTGCGTCTTTTGGTGCGTCTTACAGGTCAAGGGTCAGCGTCCTGCGTCTGGACGCATGCGTCTGGACGCATGCGTCCAGGACGCAGGACGCGTCTTTCTGAACATAGGTCTGCATGCTGATTAGTAAGTGGCATTGAGTTTCTTGCTGTGTCTAAGGATTCGCACGGGTTGGTGCACTGTCACTCATCCCTCACTTCCTACAGCTCATGCGGACACCTCCCTCCTGTTCCCCTGTCCAGCCACATCAAGTAGAGCCATCATGCCTTGTCTTGAGACATCTCACCACCATTGCTTGCCATTCCATCTTCCATCCATGCCAACAGGAGCCATCATCGGCATCGTAGTCGCATCCTTCGCTGTGCTTGTCTGCCGCTACGTGCTCATCAGTCGCTTTTCACTTTTGAAAGCCTCATGTGTACATATCCCGTGCATGACCATTCCCTCCCCCCTCCAGCCATGCCAACAGGAGCAATCATCGGCATCGCAGTCGCATCCTTCGCTGTGATTGTGTGCTGCTTCACGCTCATCTTCCTCTGCTGGCGATGGCGCCACACCAGCCAGAGCCGAGAGCTGGTCAACCAAGGTACGCACAAGTCAACGCAAGTCAACACAGGTCAACAGAGGTCTAAAACCAGTCAACAATTACACCCTTGTCTGCTGCCTCACTCTCGTCTTCCTCTGCTGGAAAATGGCACCACACCAGCCAGAGCAGGGAGCTGGTCAACCAAGGTACACACAGGTCAACACAATTCAACAACGGGTTGACACAAGTCAACAACGGGTTGACACAAGTCAACAACGGGTTGACACAAGTCAACAATGGGTTGACACAAGTCAACAACGGGTTGACACAAGTCAACAACGGGTTGACACAAGTCAACAACGGGCTGACACAAGTCAACAACGGGTTGACACAAGTCAACAACGGGTTGACACAAGTCAACAACGGGTTGACACAAGTCAACAACGGGTTGACACAAGTCAACAACGGGTTGACACAAGTCAACAACGGGTTGACACAAGTCAACAACGGGTTGACACAAGTCAACAACGGGTTGACACAAGTCAACAACGGGTTGACACAAGTCAACAACGGGTTGACACAAGTCAACAACGGGTTGACACAAGTCAACAACGGGTTGACACAAGTCAACAACGGGTTGACACAAGTCAACAACGGGTTGACACAAGTCAACAACGGGTCGACACAAGTCAACAACGGGTTGGCACAAGTCAACAACGGGTTGGCACAAGTCAACAACGGGTTGGCACAAGTCAACAACGGGTTGGCACAAGTCAACAACGGGTTGGCACAAGTCAACAACGGGTTGGCACAAGTCAACAACGGGTTGGCACAAGTCAACAACGGGTTGGCACAAGTCAACAACGGGTTGGCACAAGTCAACAACGGGTTGGCACAAGTCAACAACGGGTTGGCACAAGTCAACAACGGGTTGGCACAAGTCAACAACGGGTTGGCACAAGTCAACAACGGGTTGGCACAAGTCAACAACGGGTTGGCACAAGTCAACAACGGGTTGGCACAAGTCAACAACGGGTTGGCACAAGTCAACAACGGGTTGGCACAAGTCAACAACGGGTTGGCACAAGTCAACAACGGGTTGACACAAGTCAACAACGGGTTGACACAAGCCAACATACAATAGCACAAGTCAGCAGCCGGTCATGCGAGCACATCAATGCTCAGCTCAGAAAATAACCTCAATACTTGCTTGCTCAGCCCGATAATTTGCTGAAGGAGCACATCAATTCTCAGCTCAGCACATAACCATGGATCTGAGTTCTGAAACATCACTTCTGGCTCATGGAAACATGCAAGACCATTCGTAATGATTCACTGTTGTTGCCATTCCACCTAACGCTTGCTCCCTCAATGCACCCTTTGCCCTCCCTGCTCCCCGCTTCGTGCCCACAATAGGTTGGCAGGCAGAAGCAGATCGAAGCTATCGCAAGGATGAGTATTTCTGAGATTTGTGACTTCGCTATTGCAAGTACCGCCAATGTTGAGATAAGACTGAAACAACTACGGTAGTGTTTCAGAAATATGAAGCTAGTGTCCCTTTCGCTCAAGGTTCTTATAAATGTGTCACAATGCTTTGCTAATCATGCTGTATATGCTTGATAGTTGTACCGGTAACAATTGTCTAGTAAACGACAATAGTTTTAATCTAGTGCAATTTTCCCTTGTAGTTACTGTTCCAGCAATAAAATAAAGAGGCAACAAGTAAACACAGACAAGCAACACACTACTCACAACTATCATAATCTTTCAGATGTAACTTGCAATCATGGTAACAGCCCCCGGGTAGCTTATGCAGTGGGTGCTTTATTGGACCTCGTTCTTTTTAGTATACCCCTTCAGAGGCGAAAGCAATATACCGTATGGAATATGGATGCAAATTGACAGAAACAGCCATTTGCTCAATACACAGGCGGAGGACAGTTCACAGGCCTCAAGCCTGTTTTTTTTTAAGAGAGAGAGTGAAAAAAAACAAAACAAAACACGGTTCACGGCCCAAACGCCACGAAGCAGCCTGCGCACAGCCCGCCGACTCCTGGCCATGAACCCGCCATGCGAATGACGATTAAGGCTGTGAATACCCACTTCTACCTGCCACGTTCTTCAGATGCAGCGTTGCTTGGAAGGGCAGAAGCACGTGTGGGTGAGCGAGCGCCCACCGCTGCCACGCCTCCACGGCCTTTGGGTCCGCCATACACGCAGTCGTAGTTACGGCTTTCTGTGACCATACCAGCGCGCCTGCTGCCCACGAGGGAGGGTGGGAAGGCGATGTGGAACGGAGTCACTGGCAGCACATTGCCCACGCCTCGTGGAACGGAGACTGCCTGCTGCCCACGTGGAACGTAGTCACCTCACCGCCGTTTACTCACAGCACCGATGGCAGCACATCGCCCACCCACCCTCCTTCGTGCCCGTGCCTGCAACCACCCCCGCCACCTCCCCCCAGACTGACGCACCCTCCGCCTCCACCGCCCCACTCCCTCCTCCAGACCCCACGAGCCGGTGGCGGGTCGTCTCAAAACGTTTCAGGCCGCACGCCACGAGCCAGTGGCCTCAAGCAGCAGTGACTTTTGAGTCAACTCAAAAGTCAACACGCCACGAGCCAGCGGCCCCAAGCAGCAGTGAGGGCGCGCCTAGACGCCACTCCAGGTGACTCCGAAGCGACTTTTGAGGCGCCTCACAAGGTGTTTCAGGGCTCAGGCCCCACGAGCCAGTGACGGGGAGCAGTGAGGGCTCGCAGGCAGGCAGCAGCGCGGACGCGCCTAGATGCCACTCCAGGTGACTCCTAAGCGATCGATGGCTGCGGGCTTCTCGGGGTCGCAGGCGCTGGGAGGAGGCTGCTTTTGAGGATTCTCAGCAGCCTTGGGAGGGTTGAGAGGAGGCGGCACGTAGATGTCGAGTGGGCGCAGGGCGTAGAGCGCAGCAGTGCGCGAGAACCCCGAGGCTGGAATGATGAAGGAGTGAGACGATGCTATGAGCGCCCACTCCGCCACTGTTTCCCTGAAGTGCTGCAGGCCTCGCTGCGCCGCGTCACGCTCAGCCGGTGAAGATGATGATTGGAAATCTGTGTTTTCGTGCTGCGTGGCTTGGGCGGAGTGCCAGGGGATGAAGTCTGTGGCCACCACCTGGCAGGTCACGAGGCCCAGCACCGCATCGTGCCCAGGGAGAGTACAGCACATGCACAGGGGGGAGGTGCAATGAACGAGGGGAACAGGAGGGCAACAACGCTCATATTACGATGCGAGATCTGTGTGCTCGTGCGGAGTGGCAGGGAATGAAGTATGTGGCCACCACCTGGCAAGGCCCAAGACCCAAGGCCCAAGGCCCAAGGCCCAAGGCCCAAGGCCCAAGGCCCAAGGCCCAAGGCCCAAGGCCCAGCACGGCACATGTGCCCCGTGCGTGGTGTGGCGTGGTCCACATGCGCCCAGGGGCAGTGCATGTGGTGAGGCGTGGACCAGGGGCAGTGCAGCACACGCACAAGGAGGAGGTGCAGGTGCAGTGCGTGAGGGGAACAGGAGGTGTGAGGCAGGACAAGAGCGAACGACGAAGGAGAGAGGAAGAATCGAAAGAAATACAAGACGAGAGAGAAGTGGATTGAGCGAAGGAGAAATGGTGGGGCAGATGGCAGGAGGAGAGGGTGGGGATGGGTGGAGTCTGAGTGTTGCCTAGGAGGGTCAGGTCAGTGCACAGCACACCTTGTGTGGGTACTTTGCTTTAAGCGCTTGCTTGAGCAGGTGAGAGTTGGTGATGATAATCCACTTCACCTTCACGGGAGGCGGGTACCAGAACTCCTCCACCACCTGCCATGCCATGGGGGCGGGGCCACATGGAGATCACTTTTCAGAATTCTCACAAGTGACTTTTGAGTCGACGAGTCAGAAGTCAGCTCGGTACCAGTACAGTACTCCTCCACTGCCTGCCATGCCATGGGGACAGGGAGATTACATTTGAGAATTCCCACAAGTTGTAAGAATCCACTTCACGTTCAAGGGAGGCGGGTAACAGTACAGTACTCCTCCACTGCCTGCCATGCCAAAAGTGAGAGGCGGGGGAGAGGAGGCCGGTCCCCTTCCCATGGGGACGGGGAGACAGGGAAGGGGAATGAGAATTCTAAAAAATTCTCACATTTGAGAATTCTCACAAGTGCTGAGAACCCACTTCACGTTACGGAGGCGGGTACCTGTGATGTGATGTTTCTCCGCCCCCTGCCATGCGTCGAATTTTGTATCGACTCAAAACTCGACTCATCACGTAACGGAGGCGGGTACCTGTGATCTGATCTTCCTCCACCCCCTGTGCATTGAGGTGTATTTTGAGGCGCTTCAAAATACACCGTAACGGAGGCGGGTACCTGTGATGTGATCTTCCTCCACCCCCCCCTGCCATGCCAAGGGGACGGAGAGCGAGGAAGTCGGGAAGGGGAAAGGGGCGAGAGGAAGGGGAAGGGGGAGGTGATGGAAGCACATTGGCATGACGTGACAGTTAGTGGCAAAGCACATGCATGACGTGACAGTTAGTGGCAAAGCACATGCATGACGTGACAGTTAGTGCCAAAGCACATGCATGCCACACACACATACTCACTGCGGACCCCCCGGGCAGCACCTTTCCTTTTTTTTTTTTCTCAATGCACTACATTATTACATGTGTACATCATCACTCGTAACTGGTTCTAAGGACAGGATGTAACAGAACTCAATTATGCTCCAACCTGTGTGCATACTACATACCCCAGGGCTGCACACTGCGCCTCAAAAGTCACTGCGTACCCACCCACCTAAAAGGCAGCACCTGGGCGCACTGCGGTGTGCTGTTGGCCTTGCCGAGTAGGTCTTCCAGCTGCTGTGCCGTCATGTTCTGGGCCGTCATGCCATCATTCTGCCACACCTCACGGTCCGGCACGAGAAGTCGTGACTGGTTCTGGAGAGAGGTTGTGACATAACCCAATTATGCTAACCTGGGCGCACTGCAGTGTGCTGTTGGCCTTGCCGAGAAGATCGTCCAACTGCTGCTGCGTCATGTTCTGGGCCGTCATGCCATCATTCTGCCACACCTCACGGTCTGGTACGCGTACGTGCACGGCCACTCGCACCACGCCCTCTCCCCACGCCTGCTCCTCCATCCCCACCAACAGCTGCCACACCTCTGGCCGCGGGCTGCAACAAGGGGAGGAGGGAACAGTGGGAGGAGGGAACAGTGGGAGGAGGGAACAGTGGGAGGAGGGAACAGTGGGAGGAGGGAACAGTGGGAGGAGGGAACAGTGGGAGGAGGGAACAGTGGGAGGAGGGAACAGTGGGAGGAGGGAATGAAAAAAGTGGATAGAAGTTGGCGGACGGTGGCGGGCAGTACCTCAAAATCCCAACATTCACAGACGATTGCAGGTGAGAGAGAGAGAGAGAGAGAGAGAGAGAGAGAGAGAGAGAGAGAGAGAGAGAGAGAGAGAGAGAGAGAGAGAGAGAGAGTGTGTGTGTGTGTGTGTGTGTGTGTGTGTGTGTGTGTGGCACAGGGCACGCAAGGCGGATCTGAAGAGGAACCTGAGCATGCACCTGAATTTATACAAGAGTTGCTTCTAAAACTTTTGAGAATTCTCAAAAGTCGCACCTGAGCATGCACATGAACTTACACAGAAGTTGCTTCTAAAACTTCTTACCATTTCGTACCTGAAGAGGAACCGGAGTATGCACCCGAAGCCGTACGCGACCTTAAAGCCCAGCTGCCGCAACGCGGCGGCCCACGGGCCCTGGTCGCGCAGGAGAGTGGTGATGAGCATGCCCTTGTTGTACCGCACGCGGTAGTTGCTCAGCGCGCTCAGCTGCTGCAGCGCCTCCATCTCAAACGTGTGCCGCAGCAGGTCCAAGCATGGTACGCCGCCGCCGCCGCCACTGCTGTTGCTGTTGCTGTCCGCGCGCACCTCCGCGGCAGCGCCCAGGTTGCCCTCCAGCCGCTCGCACGGGGGAGCGTGCCACTCCACGTCGGCACCGCCGCCGTCGCCGGCGCTGGCGCCGTCGCCGTCGCGCGCGGTGGCGGTGGCGGTGGCGGTGGCGGTGGCGTCCACAGGCGTGGCGCGCAGCAGCGGGCGCCCCCCCATGGGCACGTCCGGGGAGAGCGCGGTGTCGATGTGCGGCGAGCGGAACGCGGCGTGCATACACGGCTGCGCGACCACCAGCGCGCGGCGGTCGAGCAGCGCGGCGGGGAAGAGCGACACGAGCCCGATCAGGTAGTCGCCCAGCCCGCCGCACGACCCGTACCAGTCGTACGTCAGGAACCGCACCGCCGCGGCGCCCGCCGGCTCCACGGCGGGGGGAGAGCCGTCCGCCAGGCGCCTGCGCAGCGGATCAGCTGGCTGTGGCGGCGGCGCAGCGGGCGGAGGCGGCGGCGCGGCAGGCGGAGGCGGGGTGGCTGCAGAGGAGGAACGGGGAGCAGAGGGGGGAGCAGTACGTTGTACACTTGAACGGGGAGCAGAGGAGGAACGGGGAGCAGAGGAGGAACGGGGAGCAGAGGAGGAACGGGGAGCAGAGGAGGTACGGGGAGAAGAGGAGGTACGGGAAGCAGAGGAGGAACGGGGAGCAGAGGGCGGAGCAGTACGTTTTTACACTTGCACCCGTACGCGGCGCTTGCATGTCCTGTCTGTCTCTCCCCGCCCGTGCAACCATGCGTGCGCCCCTCTGGAACGGCCATTTCTCGCGCAACTAACACTCAAAACCGCATCATCACGCGCTCCGCCCCGCCGTTCGGCGACGCTCCTATACTAACTTGCTTAGTACCTGGCGGCTGTCGCGCCCGCCATGCGTCTCTGCTGGCGGCTCTGATGCGCGCGTGCAGCTGCGCGTACTCGTCGCGCCACGCCGCCCCGCACACGTGCTCCGGGTACTCGAACCCCGCCAGCATCGCCCCCGGCTGCGCCGCTCCGCCCTGCTGCTGCGCGCTGCACGCCTGCGCGCGGAAGCAGGCAGAGGATTTGAAGGGGGTGGCGGACGGGGGGTGGTGAGTGAAGAGAGATGGCCGCATGGGACGAGCGTGGCGCTGCGACGCTTTAGAGGGGGGACGGCGCGGCGCGGCACAGGGGCAATGGGTACTACTTCTAGTCGGCGCAGGCGGCGCCTGAGGGGGGGAGGGAGGAGGGGTAGGAGGGGGGAGGTTGGGGGAGGGATTGCGAGGACGGCGTATGCTTACAGCGAGGCATGCTGCGACGAAGACGAGACCGAAGCGACGAGTTACGCGAGCAGACGGAGAGCAGCGGGTGAGGCAGCGGCGGCGAGTTTGGTGTAGGCGGCGCGTGGACATGGCCTTTGATTGGTAGAGGGACGGGGATTACCTGGACCAAAAGTACAGGGCGGGCATTGCTTGCCGTACATTGTTCCAGTAGTGGTACTGAAGTACCACGAGACTCTTGAAGCAGCGCTTCACCCTCACGATGCCGTCCGCGAGTGCTTCATTCTGTAGTGCAATACTACACCCTCTTTCTCGTTACACTGAACTGTGCCGAACTGGTGGAAAACCTTGTTATCTTTGATTTGTCTGATTGAACCGTACCAATACTTAATTAAACCACCGTTAACCGCGCTTTTCCCATCTTGACTTCACTATAACCAAATTCACAACGGCGAGAAAGAGGGTGTAGTAGCTTGTGTTTGGATGCTGCCGTCCGCGAGCTTGTGTTAGGGCGGGTCCGAAATGTACGAACTCGCGACAGTACTCTACCCAACCATATCGGTTCTTAAATAAAACGCTCTGGATCATACCAAGCCGTATCCAACCGCATTGGGGGAAGGTACATTCTCGTCAAGGGCTGGTTGGATACGATTTAATACGGTTAAATGTTACTTTTTAGGTTTCCAATGCTTCAATTGTACATGAGGATGAACTTTTCACTACGAGCCCAGAAAGAAATAATGTATTACTCTTAGACGTCCATGATCATGGGATGGAGGGGAGGCGGGGTCGGGGTTTCAGGGGGGGATGTGCTCCCATGCAAAGGAATAACAATGCTGGATGTTCGCTTAAGGCCATCGCACTCTGATGCTGTCATAGAGAGAGATATACTCCTTAGCAGCCTTGTTCCAGCTGTTGTCGATGCTCATCACTGTAGACGTCAGCTGCTGCCACCACTCAGGGCCTGACATATGGCAAAAATTAGTGGGACAAAGGTTTAGGGAAATAGAATGGCAAGGGGTGGATGAAACACAAGGGACATAAGCCAAATCACACAGAAATTGCAGGACAATAATACATACGTTCCAGTGCACACGTGTGCTTGTCATGGGTGGGGGGAGGAGAAAAAGAGCATTTTGACATTGTAAAGAGAGCAAAAGGCAACTTACGGTCTCTGTCATACTTGACAACTCGAGAGTGAGAGAGAGGAGCGAATTAAGACATTTGGTGAGGCGCCTAAAGAAACCTCCAGTCCTTGTAGGGAGAGGGGGAAAGAGGTGTAAGAAACTTACGGTCCTTGTAGGGGGAAGATGGGACTTACGGTCTTTGTAGTACTTGACAGCGCGAGAGAGGGCTGAATCGAGTGCGTCCTCACCGATTCCATCAAACACAAAGCTGCAGGCAAGGCGTAGGAGGAGAGAGAGGAGTGAGGAATATAGAACTTGACGAGAAGGCCTGACTGCCTCCCTGCGGGAAAAAGAGCATGCCACAGATCATCCTATCCTAGGGAAGACTATACAAATCATGCTGCTTCTGGCATAAATATATGAATAATGATGCCACTCACCCATTAGCTTTCTCTTTGTTCCCCCCATCGTCCACATCAAAGACTGTGTCGGCTAGTCCCCCTGTCCGCCTCACCACCGGCACCTGTTGACATGAAGCGACAAGAGACACCCAAGAGAAGATAACGGTTGAGAAAATAACTTTTCACAATTCTCATGACAAGTCTTGAATTCCCCTACCCACCCTCTCGCTCTCCTCCCCCACCCCCACTCCCCAGTCACAGTGCTGCAGCGCATTATCTGCGTGAGTCCACACGGCTCAAACATGGAGGGCACAAAAAAACAATCACTCACTATTGCCTTAAACACCATGCATTGCCTCCCTCCTCATACCCACCCCCCACTCACCGTGCCATAGCGCATGTGTTTGACCGCACAGCTCAAACACGGGGGCACGAGAGCCACCTCCTCAATCTTATACAACAATTATTCCCTCATCCCTCGCCCCCCTCCCCTCCCCACCCCCACACTCACCGTGCCATAGCGCATGCCGATCATCTAAGTGAGTCCGCACGGCTCAAACATGGAGGGCACAAGCACCATGTCGGCTAACGCAAACAGCTGGTGAGCCAAGCTCTCACATGGAGGGCACGACCTACCTTCTTACACGTCTCATCAACAGTCTTCAAGATTCCCCTATGCCTCCTCTCCCCTCCCCTCACCCTCGTCCCCATCCCTCACTCACAGTGCCGTAGCGCATGCCGATCATCTGGGTGAGTCCGCACGGCTCGAACATGGAGGGCACGAGGACCATATCCGCCGCCGCAAACAGTTGGTGAGCCAGGCTCTCACTGTCACCCACACTAAACGCACAAGGTTAGCTGCTTATAACGAGGATGTACTCATGAGTTTGGAAGTCTGGCACTAAACGGCACGGAAAATTGCTGAAGAAAGGAGCAAACGCTTGGGTGCATGAGCAGGAGATGGTGGTGGTGACACATGAGCAATTGATTAATCAATTAAAATTTGAGCATGTGGTGGTGGCGCATGAGCAACATGACGCATCGAGGTACGACGATGACGTGGCGAGTTACCTGTACGTAAGAACAAGACGAACACTGCCGCCATCTTGGAACTGAAAAAAATGACAAAAACAGAAAATGAAAAATACATGGAGAAAGAAGATCAGACGCAGTGGTGTGCATGTAAGACAGGGGCCAAGCTTGGCATGAAAAAAATAACATATACTGTATTCTCAGCAGGTTTTGAGACATCCCCAAACTCAAAGTCTCCCTGCACTCGCCCTTTGCACAACAGCACCCTGCCCACAGTCCAGGTGTCTTACTCTCAGCATTTCAACCCATCCTCACCTCCTCTGCAATCTAAACAAAGACTCTCTGCTTCTGGGCATCGTGCGGCAATCTGAAACTTGTATTGAAACAATCATACGGGCACTTATTGAGAACTCAAAGATGGCCAGAAGCTTTTATGATCTAAGACTGCCATCCGCTCGCTCACCTCTTCTGCGATCTTGACAAAGTCTCCCTGCACTCGGCCATCGGGCGATGAGCCAAGCAGAATGAACTGCCCGCCCTGTTGTGTGGGAACACGGAGAGACGAAAGTGGGGAAGGGATTAAAGAGTGCGTTCATACAGAGGTTTGCACGATGTAGAGGGAGGGGTGTGTGAGATGGAGATAGAGGAAAGGGTGTGAGAGATAGAGAGGGGGGTGTCCAAGATAGAGAGGGAGATTGAAAATGTGGGAGGAAAGAATAGAGGATGAAGGACAACACAGGCATTTTCATTGATGCAATACTGCTCACAGGCTGTTGACACTTAGAGCTCATGGTCCTAGACTCACATATTTGTGTTAACAGAGCAAGACAATGAGTAAGGCTCACATGGTTGTTTGTCTTTTCAGGTATTACAGGTTAATAGACGCTACGGACCTAAAGCGACGTATTTGTGCGTTTGGTAGAGGACCAGAGAATCAGGTGGACACCTCTCTTTGAGCCTCTACGCGAGTCATGCACTTTAAGGCGAGTCAGAAACTAAAGCATGAAGGCTCACGTATTTGTGTGTCTGGTAGATGGCGTGGCGAATCAGGTGAATGCCTTTCTGGGCCACCAGACGAGTCACGCACACCACCAATGGGGACCGCTCCCCTGTGACCAGCTGAGTCAGCGCCGAGTCAGCCACGGGCCCTGCTGACGCATCAGCTGCAAGCTTCTCTGCAGCCTCGGGTGTTATTTCAGGTGTGAGGCCGAGTCCCCTCTGCACATAGTGCTTGCACAGCATCTTGCCTGCCAGGCTGGTGGCTGGAGGAAGGGAGTCGGAGGGAAGAGCGGGGAGAGAGGGGAGGTGGAGCGACGCTATACTTCATTGTTTTGCAGGAGGGAAGGAGGGAAGGTGGGGCGTCGGGAGAGGGAAAGAGGGGGAAAGTGTCGGCGCCCAGGTCCCGCCACTCGTAGTGCACAGAATCTTGCCAGCCGCGCTGGTGGCTGGAAGGGGAACGAGAAAGAGCAACGGCAGAACAATAGGTAGGAGCAAAGGCATGGCTCGGCTCCTGAGCAGGGCACGAGGCATACATGAGGACCGACCAGATGAATCATTGGTTTGGACGAACTATTGGTCTGCTTTGACTCTCCACTTGAGGGCAAGACAAGAGGCGTACGTGAGAAATGGGCGGGCAGATGGGGGTCGGTTTGCGGGTCCCACATCTCCGTGTCGATCCCGTTCAGCACACCAAAGTACCTGCCAGCCATAGTAAAGCCATCCATCATACAGTGAAATTGAGACTTAAAGAAATACAAATACAAACGTTAACACATATATATACACATATTCCCCTTCGCATCAGCGTTTTTTTTTGTGGAAAACGAGCCAATAACTGACACTGATGGCTACTAAACTAACAAGTAACTCAACTCACTTGGTGCGGTATTTGAGAAGCGTGTTGGAAAGCCATCCATTGCAGAGAGTCTCGCTGGCATAGGTTGGACTCACGGTGCTGCATGCATGCCACGGAATATGGAATGCATTCATGGGTGGCGGTTTGGTTGAGATTCCTCGAACGTAGTTGCGTTGCGTTGCATGTGCATGTGAGTGTGCGTGCATGTGCATACAGCAGTGTGCGACTGAGAGCAGTTGAACCAGTCGCATGCGGTTTTGATAAACATACACTTGATGGCATGCAGCCTTGCATGTAATAGATGTCGTATGTGTATCAGATGTTCAGACATAGTGACATGTGCGACAAATCGACAATGAGTCAACTAAGTGAAACATGATCTCATGTGATACACTATCTTTCTGTTGTATGGAATCACGTTACAGAATTAGCTCACGTGACAGTGTTGACTCGTGTTCATTCAGGTTACAAGTACACGATCCCTCCCTTTCAGCATTGACATTTTGAGTCGACTCTAAAAGTTAACTTCTGAGTCGACTCAAAAACTACTCACGTGACAATGTTGGAGTATACGATCCCTCCCTTCAGCATGGACAGCCTCTCAGGATTGTGCCCCACTGTGCGGTCATCCATGGCCTGATGGGCCGTAAGGGTGGTGATGGTGAGGGGCAGGGTGAGAGGGGTGTGGCGGCAGAGGATATGACAGGAGAGGGAAGACAGGGTTGTGCCCCACTGTGCGGTCATCCATGGCCTGGTGGGTAGGGTAGGAGGGCAGATGGGAGAGGCGGGAACTGAGGAATGAGAGTAGGGAGAAGAGCAGCATGAGTATTTTGAGTGGAGATGTAACAAGCAAAGACGGCTTCTCAGGGTTGTGCTGTGCCCCATTGTGCGGTCATCCATGGCCTGATAGGGGAGTGCAGAAGGAAAAGAGAGAGAGCACGAGTCACATGCGAACCACATCCCGGTCATGCAGCAGATGATTGTAGATATAATGCTGGGTGGGAGAGAGATATTAGCAGTCCGTAAGGCAAAATAAACAGATAAAGGAAAGGAGAACATCAATGCGAAACAGAGCAAGGAAGAATTACTTCGTGAGCAACTCTCTCCATCCTGCCTGCCTTCCCTGAAGGTCATTTGAAGGCAATCATTCCCTGCATGACTCAAAGAAATCTCAGAAACATTTTCACAAAAGTGGATCACATGTAGCCAATCTGAACTCGCATGGAAAACATTCCTTTCAAGATAATTCCCGCATTGATACTTTGCCTACGAACCTTCTCGGTGTCGAGGTATGATTGTCCATCCAGACCACACATGTCCAGCTGCTCCCATCTGAGACAGGCAGGCAAGGCCGGGGAGCAGTATATACAGGGTGGAGCAAAGTACAAGGCAGCACAGCATAGACAAGAGAAGATCCAAGCCAAGTAGACAGAGGAAAACGGCAGGCAGGGAAATGTGTTTTCTCTCCAAGGAGTACTACCAAGGACACTGACGAATGATTACTACCTCACCATGTACCGACCTAGTTTACAGTAAGAATGGAGTGGTTCAAAATCTTCTATACGTTCTTCAGGAAGCAAGTAGTGGGGTCACAACGCGTTTTGAGTGCAGAGCCCCATCTCTTCACTGTTTCTCACCTTTACCTGGCCTCCCCATGCCCCTCACCTGCACTCCCCATGGTGCTCCATGTTGTGAATGGTGAGGATCAGGCGTGGCTTCTGCAATCGGGGAGGGAAGCAGGGTGGGTGGACGAAGGGAAGAGGATGAAAGGCGAACAAATAGAAGCTCATTCGACCGGGTAACATCTGGGTCAACCCTACATACCCTACATACCTGACATCATTCAAAAGTCTCACACTGTCTCAGCGATCAAAGCGCCACATCTAACAGACTGCTACTTAGCAACAACGCACCTGCAGGTTGAGTTGGTGGTACATGTCCCAGTAGAGCAGTGCGACCGCTGCTGTGACGTCTGCACGCCCAGTACGCAGCTGGACTCACAGCTGCACTCCTTTAGACGCTTCATCATATGGAATGACGCACCTGCAGGTTGAGCTGGTGGTACATGTCCCAGTACAGCAGTGCGACCGCTGCTGTGTGCCACTCGTGGACGTGCAGAATGTCCGGCTGCGCTCCTGTCACCTGGTGGTGGGATACACATGGAATGGATACACGTAGGCACAACATACTATGTTAAAGGGTTAATGGAATCGGGGCAGACATGGCGTGGTATGGCACACAGATCGCACAGTTGTGAGTGTGCCTATGACATGAGCATGTCCCAACACTTGAGGCGCCTCAAAGGCATGGCATGGCATGGCATGGCACACACGGCCGTGTGTATGCCCATGAGCATGTATGCCCCAACTCAACCCGCACAGCCCCACGTCCATTCCCTGCACGCCCCCCACATCCTGCCTACGTGTGCATCCCGCCACATCCCGCCTCACCTGCAGGAACTCGAGGCTGGCGCGGCTGAAGAAGAGGTAGGCCTCGAGCTCGTTGTAGGAGCCGCCGTAGATGCGCCCTCCCCTGAAGAAGTGGTTCTCAGGCTTCAGCAGCACCACTGGCACGCCTGAGATCTCCCCACTGAACGCCTGCAATAATGGGGGGTGGTATGTGTGCGTACAGGCATGCATGTGAGTGAGAAGGGGAGTGAGTGAGACAGACACAGATGCGCCATCTCTTGAAGAAGTAGTCTTCTGGTGGCTCCACACCATTACAATCCAGGCCCAACTCGTCTCCACACCAGCGCAGCCGCACTTGGAGAAGGGGGCAAAGGACTGCTTTTTCTGCAGGTTGGAATTCTGCTTCTTACCTCTCTGCCTCACACCTGCACAGGGAGCTGAGGTACCACCTCTCTGCCTCACATCCACTCCAATATCTCACTTCCAGCACACTCCAACTCACAGTCAGTCCAGCTCAACCCCACTCCACTCCAACGCACCTCCACGCCGACCCGGTCTCCCTTGAAGTAGGAGCCAAAGGAGCGCTCGAGCTGTAGGTTGGCGATCTGCTTTACTCATGCACACTGACCTACCACCTCTCTGCCTCGCGTCAACTCCAACCTACTACCACCAAACAACTCCAACCAACGCACACCTACTCCAACTCAATCCCACTCTGACGCACCTCCACGCCGACCCAGTCGCCCTTGAAGTAGGAGCCGAAGGAGCGCTTGAGCTGCAGGTTGGCGATCTGCTTGGTGTCCAGACACTCATAAAATGGCAGCATCACCTCCACCGTGTGGCCCCGCGCCAGACAGGCTCGGCCTAAACCTGCAACATGAATGGACGGACAATGAAGAAGTGCAACAGCAGCATCACTAACACTGAGTGGCTCAGAGCAAGAAAGACAAGCTTAGCTCAAACCTGCAGACAAACTACTGGCCTGTCACAACGACTTGTACATGCATCATGCTAACAGTAACGCCTGACTCACCTGTTACCACATCCCCAAGGCCGCCGACTTTCGCCAGGGGAGCCATTTCTGCAGTCACGTGCACAATGTGAATGCGCTCCGAGTCCCTCTCTCCCACCACTCCGTCCCCTGTTGACCCGCTGCTCGTCACCCCTGCTGCTGCCACGTATCCTTCACTGGTTGGCCAGCGCATCCAAAACGGCGGCTCCTCCTGGGGAGACGGCCAGATAATCTGCTGGGCGGCAGTGGCTGGCACAGCTTGTCTTTTCTGAGCTGTTCCTATGGCCTCTTCTATAACTTCAACAGATGATGAGGCTGGTGCTGCTGCTGTTGCCTGAAACAGCGGGAAGGGGATAAACATGCAGGAGGGATTTCAGCGCAAACGAGATGTGCTTGGTTGTCCCCGTTAATTATTTCCTCTGAATAAATTTCTTCAATTCGAAACATTTCTTGTTCTTGAAAGCATGAATTTCAGTTTCCCCAGCATGGGTATTGTTTTACCACGCACATACATCACACAATACACACCACACCACCATGGTTCACCCATGCCACCTACTACATCACTCACCACATCAGCGGCGACAGCAGGCGAGCCAGGAGCGCCGCCTCCCTGCATGGCCAGCGGGAGCGCTCCTTCCAGCTCCTGAGACGTCTCACTTGTCACCTCCACCGTTACCCACTCACCATATCAGCGGCGACAGCAGGCGAGCCAGGAGCGCCGCCTCCCTGCATGGCCAGCGGGAGCGCCCCTTCCAGCTCCTGAAACGTCTCACTTGTCACCTCCACCGTTACCCACTCACCACATCAGCGGCGACAGCAGGCGAGCCAGGAGCGCCGCCTCCCTGCATGGCCAGCGAGAGTGCCCCTTCCAGCTCCTGAGACGTCTCACTTGTCACCTCCACCGTTACCCACTCACCACATCAGCGGCGACAGCAGGCGAGCCAGGAGCGCCGCCTCCCTGCATGGCCAGCGGGAGCGCCCCTTCCAGCTCCTGAGACGTCTCACTTGTCACCTCCACCGCTACCCACTCACCACATCAGCGGCGACAGCAGGCGAGCCAGGAGCGCCGCCTCCCTGCATGGCCAGCGAGAGTGCCCCTTCCAGCTCCTGAGACGTCTCACTTGTCACCTCCACCGTTACCCACTCACCACATCAGCGGCAACAGCAGGCGAGCCAGGAGCGCCGCCTCCCTGCATGGCCAGCGAGAGCGCCCCCTCCAGCTCCGCCAGGCGCGCTTTCAGCCGCGCGTTCTCCTCCACTATCGCCTCCAGCCGAGCCTGTGAACGGGTGCACGAATTCGCGTAGAAAGAGGGACGATTTTGAGAAGTACGGCGGGTGGAGAATGCATGCACGGTAAGGCAGCGGACGCTCCCTTCACTCAAGCCTCCACTCCACCCTTCCACCCCCCGCCCCCCCGCCGCCCCTTTCTCCTTTTCCTTTTCCTCTTTCTCCTAAAACACGAGGGTGAGGCTTGGAAGGTTGGCATTGTCCATTTGTATTTAGACATGCAAGGAACTGCTCGATTTGGTTGGGGGACTGTGACAAAGCGTAAGCGCACATGAAACGCTTACCAGAACGAGACAGTTGCCTGAAAAGTACCGAAAGACTGGAAGTTAAGTTGTTGCAATTTTTGTGAGAATTGGAAACCAAGCCAGCCATCATGACGTGACATACATCGTCATTTCTTTTCACACCAAGGCGCTAGGACAAACAATAAATTATTCAAAAGAACGAGACTGTTGGTATTCAAGTTGGCGTCATACCTTCTCAGAATCGCTTGAAGCGCTTGTGTTCGCAGCAACCTGCAAAGAAGCAACGGGAAGGTCGTCTTACTCGGAAAGCTTGACAAAATCCGTCAAAATTGTGCGAGATAAAAAAAAAACACAGCCGAATCTGATGCTCGACGGAGTCAGCCAACTTTCGTAAGAGAATGATGGCTCAAACCAGCTGGGTGACGGGGAGGGACATGCCTGAAGGGCTCCATGATTTTGGGAACCTGCTTTGCGCGAAGCATTTCGAGACCGCTGGCGAAGCGAATTCCCGAAAATTCCCGCCTGCATTTGCATTATCAAGATAGGTTGGTAACCTCATTTCATACAACATTATAGACGGGGACCAGGTTTGCTCTCAGAGCATATACATTCAAAAGCTAAGCATAGAAAGTGATTAATAGAGAGGATAAACGCAATGATGTATTTCTAACGGAAACATTGTACCTGAGTGGACATTAGCGGAGTGAAAGAGGAGGCAACAGAAAGGCTCTCCTCCTTGAGGCAAACTGAGGAGACTGCTGGCAACAGGCCTGCAGAGGCGGATGTCGTTGTCATGGCCGCCATGTCGTCAGTGCTAGGTTACCGCTCCTCACTCCCGCTTTCTCCAGGACGAAGCGCGCCCTGACAGCAACGCTAGAGCTCAGCCTAGAGAAAAATGGAGGTCCTAGGTGACAGGAAGGCTGTTCTCCCAGAGACTCTTGTGTGTTGTAATGTGACTTGTTAGTCGGTCACACGGAGAACTCATTCCAGTCACATTTGCTTTCTCGATATCCTCGAATTCTGCGAATGTGCCTCCCAGCACATGCGATAGATTTGCTGCGGACGAAGCCCTGGTCCGGCGGGTAACCACTTTCGAGTATCAAAAGCAAACAGCTGCGGGGTTGAAGGCGGGTGGTCAGGAGCGCGTGTCCCAGTCAACATGACAATGGAGGAAGGATAGCCCTATGATCCTCGCCACGTGGCAATCAGTCACCAGGAGGGGATGAAGGCGTGGCGGAGAATCTCCAGCTCAACAGATCCCGCTCCACGTGCCTGACGTGCGTCTATAGTCACGATATTAAACCAGACTACACAGCATGTATAATAGGAGAATCAAATCATCTGAAGAAATAATTTGAAGTGTTGTCATTTACCAATACCTGCAGCTGGTGATATACCAGAATCCCCTCAGGGGCAATGAAATATCGTATCTCAACAAAACCGCTGAGGGAGTGTATAGCACAAACTGTACAAACCCCTACAGGTTATCTACACATATACCGTAGGAATGGGAGATTGCCAGGAACCAGTGCCTGTGGCATTAGCGGCTGCCTGAGCCAGAAGGTCCCGCATCAGCCATGGTCCTCTTCTGAGCTCGCCTTGCCCTTCGGCCCAAAATCCCCTCCTTGGAATTCTGACCCTTCTGAGCTGCACTGGATGAGCGGGCAGGGGCAGGGCGTGCCTCTATGCGACCCCGGCGGACATAGCCATTCTCACCCCATCGCCTGTTGCCTATGCGCAGAGTGTTAGCATAATAGTCTTCTTCCTCGTCTTCTTCATAGGCATCTAGCTCTGGTGGGTGCTCTATCTCATTTTGGTATTCGAATTCCACAGGAGTGTACCATGGAGCACGGAGAAGCAAGCACACTGATTCTTCAAGCATAAAATCACTCACGCTGCACAAAGAAAGGCAGGAGGTCACTGGGTGAACGTTCGAATGAAGTCACAAATGGCAAGTTCAAGGTAACGGGAATAGAAATGACCAGGATGCGTACAGATGAAAGAAATTTCCAGCATACCTTCCATTCAGAGTTTTGTACAGGTAAAGCGATGAAAATGGCAAGCGACACTGGGGACACCACGGATGGGTCTTGTACGAAGCCCATTGAAGAATGCAGTTGATGCTGAGATGAAAGGAGAGAAATTGCCATCGTGAGGAATCAGCAACATAGAAAAGGCAACCTTGGCTTGCAAGAGCAAAAAGGGAGAGCTCGCTGACCAGTATGAGTGATCGCATCCCTTGATGAAACCCGTCTCTTGAAGAATGATGCCCTCGTGGCAGATTGCACACACGTTGCTGTCGTCCTGAAGGGAAATCAAGATACAAATACGCGTTTGACGCTGAGAGCCATGACGAAAGCGCTCCTTTTCAAATGCTCATCAAATACGAACATACCAGGAACCCAACAACGGTCTATCAACGGTCCTTTCATGACTACCGGACCTTGATTTGAGAACAATCGGGGAAAGCACATTCGTCCTCAGCTTCAACAATAACCGTTTCCAACTTCTTCTGGACCCCGTCAACCTCGCTCGCGAATGCCTCCACAGCTGGCGGGGATTCCATGGAGCTAAGACGGGGGAGGCAGGTACAATCCCTTACCCTTGAACCACACCGGTTCGTCCTTACAATTGTACCAACTCGTTCCCCCGAACGTGGGGTTTCCTCCCCTACCGCGCTGCCTACACGCCACACATGACACGCTCTGCCCCCGGAGGATAGCAGGCGGCAGTTGGAAAGCAGCAGCGCGACTAGTCGGAATTACCTAGGTGAAAGCTGTCGCGCTTGGTACTAGGGTTAGGAGGAAGCGTACAGAAGGACATTGTTCGTTGGAATCGACTTTGCCAGGAATATGCAAGGGAATCTAAAAACTGCGGCAAAGAACGCATCGCTAAGGCGAGAGAGTGAACTACTAGCACCTGCTGCTGGTGCTGTTGCTGCATAACATTGAATTCACTAAAATTAAAGAGAAGAACAGAATGAAATGGAAGACTAGTATTTGTTGCCCTCGACGTGCTGGAAAATGAATTACACACGTCCCGTTCTGAACGGGAAAAATGGTTCAGCCATTTTCCAGCCACAGAAACACTCCTATATTGTTGTAAGGGAGTGAAACATTTGGAAAATAATTGAAGTCCTGATTCCTATCTTCAAATTTTATCATATTGCAGTAGGTTCTACTACGGTGCAGAACGTAGACGTCCGATCTGATTGCGGGATGCGGATTCTTCCACGCCCAAGGGAACTGGATTACTACCTGCAAAGCTCAATCCTCCTCTCCTCCGCTGAATCTACCCAACTCCATAAACATCCACACTGTGGACACAGCTGCAGAGGGGGAAGGATGGAAGAGGCATGCACCCAATACCATTAGCAAATCCAAGACTACACCTTAAAGGTCAAACTGGGATTGCATGCACAATCTGTTATGAGCAAAAGGCTTGGGAGTACCATGTACCAATTGAGATGTGATATTTCCGAGTCACCTAAAAAAACGTTCAAACATATATAAATACACATACACATATATAAGGCCCTCAGAAGGAACAACTTACAAGCGAAGAAGCATGGTGCAGCAAAGTTCTTGACTGTCATGGTCTTGTAGACGAGCAGCTCGAGCAGAAAGTGCAGGAGGGCGAAGACGAAGGACGTCAGCGTGGCGAGGTAGAGCGGGCGGCTGTCCAGATGCAGCGCACAGAGGATGCAGAGCGTGCAGGTGACAGCTGTCCAGACAGCAAAGGTGCGACCGTGCACGTCAGACACTGACCGGACACAAGGGGGAGGTGGGTAGGTGATGGAGATGGGGGATGGGCGGAAAGAGGGTGAGATAAGGGGTGAGGTATGAGGTGGAGCGAGATCATGCATGTGACAGCTGTCCACGCAGCAAAGGTGTGACGGTGCACATGAGACGCTGGAGGGGGAATGGCGTGAGACAGGACAGTGTGAGTGGCAGAGCGAGAGGAAGCAGAGCATACAGGTGAGAGGTGTCCACACGGCAACGGTGTGACGGTGCACATGAGACAGAAAGAGTTTCTTGACTTTGATTTCACCGCAAGTCAGAGCTCACTAGTGCGTTTGGAGTAGACAGCGACCTGCAGCGCCCAGAGGTTGAAGTAGCCAAAGTAGACCGAGGAGAGACGTGCAAAGGCCACCATCTAAGGCCGCCAGCAGCATCTGAGCCACTTTTGATAACCCGCACTCAGACCGGGGAGGGGAGTTCCTCGGCAAGGATTTCACCAACTGCTGCGTTTTGAGTAGACTGCGACTTGCAATGCCCAGAGGTTGAAGTAACCAGAGTAGACCGAGGGGTGGCGAGTTCTGGCGTGGTGTGCTCTGGTAACACCGAGACTTGTGGCTGAATTACACGTCACCTTCTTATCACAACACTCACTGGTGCGTTTGGAGTAGACAGCGACCTGCAGCGCCCAGAGGTTGAAGTATCCAAAGTAGACGGAGGAGAGACGGGCAAACGCCACCAGCAGCAGCCAGTAGCCCAGCGGGTCCATGCTGGTAGTGGTGCTGGTGCTGCCGCTGCAGGGATGGGGAGAGGGATGGGAGAGAGAAAGGCGAATGAGGCACGACAGGAGGGGCATTGAGGAGAGGCTAGCGAAGCCCAGCAGCAGCAGCCAGTAGCCCAGAGGCTCCCATGCTGGTGATGCCGGGATGGGACAGGGAGGGGAGGGGAGGGGAGGGGGGGAGGGAGGGAAGAGGGAGGGAGGAAGGGGGATGAGAAAGGGGAATGAGGATGCCAGAGGAAGGGGACTGAGGGGGGAGGAAAATGAGGGGCAAGGGGGTGAGGGATGAGGGGAGTGAGGAGAGAAGGGAGTGAGGGGCGGGGGAGTGAGGGATGAGGGAATAGAGGGGCGACGGTAATGAGGAGAGGGGGGAGTTAGGGAAGAGGAGAGTGAGGGATGAGGGAAGTGGGGCGAGGGGAGTGAGGAGAAGGGAGTGAGGGAAGAGGAGAGTGAGGGATGAGGGAAGTGGGGTGAGGGGTGCACGGCAATGAGCAGTTCCTGCGTGCGCGGAAGATGACGTGTGGCGGAGGGCGAAGGGCGGAGGGCGAAGGGCGGAGGGCGAAGGGCGGGGAGTTGGGCGCGGGAGGCTCTCTTCCTCCCAGTACTACCCTGTCGGCTAATAGCGGATCCTGCGTGCGCGGAAGATGACGTGTGGCGGAGGGCCGAGGGCGAAGGGCGAAGGGCCGGGAATTCGGTGCGGGAGGCTCTCCTCCCCAATACCCTGTCGACAAAGAGCGGTTCCCGCGAGCGCTGACGAGGCGTAAGGCAAGGATTTTGGCGGGGTAGCGCGGCGACGGGGAAAGGCGAAGAGTAAGTCCAAGTCTTTAATGAAATAGGCGGGAGTTTTCTGCCATTCCATAGTGACTATTAGCTTTGCATCCTTAGGACTTTGCCTGGTGTAAAGCCGCGATGGAAAAGTGTGCGGAGCGGAACGTTGAAGGCCACTGGCGTCCGGGAGGAGCAATGGGCTAGAAGGGTTGGGAATGAATCTGTTTTTTAGTCGACTGAGAAACAAACTCATCACGAGGAGCAATGGGCAATGCTCGAAAGGTTGGGAACTGCTCGATGGGTTTGCTGCGCTAATTCGCAAGACTATTTCGTCAGGGAGATGTGTTGAAGACTACCGCAACGCGAAAATGCGACGCTCAAATAGAGCCTCACCTGCCGTTGCGCAGATGCGGCGGTGGTGGCGGAACGGAAACCAAAGTTAATATAGGCCGCGGAAAGGCAAAGCGAACGCGACTACCTAGGGAAATCAGCGGGAGAATTACGCGACTTAAAGAATTACACGACGGTCGTGATGATTGCGTTGGCTTGGAGTGGAAGCATAGAACATTCTTTTGATGAATTCAGTGGTTGATCATGTGCGACGGTAACCATGTTTGTGAGGATCCTTGATCCACATCGCATGCCTCTTTATCTTCGCTAGATGCTCTTCGCGAATGTTTCGAGCCATAAAATGGTCGGCGGTAGTAGGATTTCGTGCTTACAAGACTGACATAATCCAGGGTTCAGAGAGTTACAGAAAGGTTCATATAGAATTTGAAACCTGTGGATCTCTATCGAATGCTAAGTTGTGCCAAAAGTGATACAGAAAACTCTATCTTACACTATGTTCACAACAGGCCCTATTTTCTCATGCCGGAATGGTCTGATTTCCAAATATACAAGCCTGCTCTTGCGATCAAACAATGATTGTTGCCACGATCACCTCAGGAAGGTTCGCACACTTTGGTCTAGTGGTGGTGGGCCCGTGACTTCAATAGCAGAGTGAATGTAAAATGCTTGAGATGACTAAAACATGCAAATACAATTATATAAATATGAGTACAAGGGAATCTGAATCGTCCTAGCTAGCCGTGTACTCTAAAGGGTACATTCCCTTATTCAAATTCATTCTCAACCGTCCGGCGCGTACAGTTGCGAAACTGTTTCCGCCAAGATCCTCCTGCTTGCGGCTGCCCGATGTCGTCTGCTCCGACGGTCCGGATGCATCTTAACCGTCTGTCGTTTCGAGTCAACTCTGACTCTTCACATTCGTTCTCGATACTGCGCGCTTCTTTAGCTGCGGTCGGGAGCGCATTATAATCTTCATTCGTTGCTATTCGTAACACCCCCCTTCACTCCTGGCCGTAGTTCGACTTGACCTGCTTGACCACGGCGCTGAGTTCGGAGCAGTGTTGGTACTGCTGGCGTGGCAGCCGTTTCGTGAGAATATCTGCTGCCATGTCACCGGTCGGGCAATAGGTCAAATCAACCTTGCCCTTGTCCACTTCGTCCTTCACGAAGAAGTACCGCAGCGCAATGTGTTTGGTGCAGTTGACGAAACCAGGTTTGTTCGCAATGCGAATCGCGCTCTGGTTGTTGCAGTGAAGGCGAAAGGTGGGCGAAGCTGGGATTTTCGCTTCCTGCAGAAGTTCCTGTAGGTAGAGGCCTTCGCGAACTGCTGCGGTTGCTGCGATGAATTCCGCTTGAGCTGATGACAAGGCAACCAGCTCCTGCTTCTGCGAGTTCCAGGAGATTGGTCCCGTCGGTTCGAGTCGGAACAGGAAGCCAGTCCTGGACCGTCGATTGTCGGGATCTGCTGCGTGATCGGCGTCCACGTAGCCGATCAGGTTGAAAGATGGGGTTGATGCAGTCGAGTAGCACAGACCAATCTTGGGCGTTGAAATGAAGAACTGTAGGGCACGCTGCAGGTCCGGAAGATTTTCAGCCGTTGGCTTGCGTGAGTACTGGGCCAGCTGACTTGCGATGTAGGAAAGGTCAGGCCTGCATGTGACAGAGGCGAAGAGTAGGCATCCCAGCTGCTGTTGGTAAGTCTGAACTCCAGCACGGGATAGGGCTTTATTGTTAGGTTTGTGGTTCGGTCCCGGAGTTTGATAGGGAGTTGAGAGCGGTGCAGGCGAGAACTTGAAGCGTTTCCCTAACTCCTCTGCGTACTTGGCTGTTGAGAGGTGAATGGCCTCAGGTGTGTAGGAGATGTTGAGGCCTAAGAACTGCTTCACCTCGTGGTTGCACGTGATGTCGACGCGCCTCGCCAGGCTTTTCTCGAACTGCTCGAGTAACTCGTTACTTGAGCCCGTGTAAAGCAGGTCGTCGACGTAGACCGTGAGGAGAATGTATTCGCAGTGGAAATCACGGCGGTACATTCCTGGATCGTACGACATTTGCTTGAACCCGATTTCAAGCAGGATGTTGTGCAGATACTGTTGCCAAAGCCTTGGTGCATGTTTTATCTCGTACAGGGATTTGCGCAGCTGGCATACGCGCGAATCCCCTTCGCCGTATGTGTGCGGCTGCTCCACGTAAATCACGGCGTCTACTAATGCGTACAAGAACGCATTCTTGACGTTAATCTGGCGGAGAGATAGATGCCTTGCAGCTGCGATGGCGAGCAGGATTCGGACGGAGGTGTGGCGGGTGACTGGGGCGAACGTCGGGTCGAAGTCGATGCCGTGCCTCTGGTCATATCCCCGTACCACCCAGCGCGCCTTGAAGCCCTCAATCGTTTCGTCCGCTGCGGTCTTCATCCGGAAGACCCATTTGCCTGTTAGAACTCTTGCGCCTTTGATTGACGCATGGTCGACTAACACCCAGGTGTCTCGGGATTCGAGCGCCTTGATTTCTGCGTCCATCGCCTCTCGCCATTCTTTGCTGTAAGGTCCAGTGGCAGCTTGGCGCGGGTTTCGCGGCTCGATCACACGTGGCTTCTTCGAGGTTGCAGTGTGAAGCCCGAGCAGCTGCAATCCTGAGACGGTGCTGTCGTGACGACGTTGCGGGATGACTTCCTGCACATCGTCGTCATCGCTCTCTGGTTCAGGTGGTGTAGGTGGTGCTGCGCCACTGCCGCTTCCGCCTGTTCTGCCCATTCCTCCTCCATGGGAATCGTCGTCATCGTCGTCGTCGCTGCTGCGATCTCTCCGTGTGAATTTGCCCCTGTTGTCCTGCTCCAGGATGAGAAGAAACGAGAATGAATGAACTATGAATGAAGTGAGTACAAATAGGAAACCCTAATTGGGTTGTACCCCCTATGGGATACCCCACTATAGCCTACACAACAGCATAAGCTATAATGTTCTAACACACCCCCATAGGCAAAGTGGGGGAGAACAAGGGGTCACAAGACCAGTCAAGCAAAGCAAAGCAAAGCAAAACTCAGGGTGGATTGTCAGAACTATATAGCTTATACTATTGTGTAGGCTATAGTGGGGTATCCCATAGGGGGTACAACCCAATTAGGGTTTCCTATTTGTACTCACTTCTTTCATAGTCATTCCATCCTCGTTCTCTCTTTCACATGGAATCAGAGCAGGTCCCCTACTAGGGACTGTTGCTTGGGCCCACCGAAGCGCGCCCCGAGGCGCGCGTCCTTTTTTTTAGCGACCCGTCGTGTCGCCCTCCCTAGCGGCCTGTCGAGCCGCCCTACCTTGCGGCCCCGCCGCCCTATCGCGCGGCCTCGCCGCCCTAAGTCGCGGCCTGCCCGCCGCCCTACTTCGACGGCCCCGCCGCCCTACGTCGTGGCCCGCCGCCCTACTTCGACGGCCCGCCCGCCGCCCTACGTCGCGGCCCCGCCGCCCTGCGTCCCGGCCCGCCCGCCGCCCTACTTCGACGGCCCGCCCGCCGCCCTACGTCGCGGCCCCGCCGCCCTACGTCCCGGCGGCTCCGCCGCCCTCTGCTACGCGGCCCCGCCGCCCTCTGCTACGCGGCCCCGCCGCCCTCTCCTACGCGGCACCGCCGCCCTCTGCTCCGCGGCCCCGCCGAGCCGCCCAGCATCAGCCGAGCCGCCCAGCAGCAGCCGAGCCGCCGCCGAGCCGCCGCCGCTTGAGCCGCCGCCCGGGCCGCCGCCGAGCCGCCGCCGCCTGCGCCGCCGAGCCGGAGCCGCCCGAGCCGCCGCCGAGCCGCCCAGCAGCAGCCGAGCCGCCGCCGAGCCGCCGCCGCCCGAGCCGCCGCTGAGCTGCGACCGAGCCGCCGCCCGAGCCGCCCGAACCGCCCGAGCCGCCCGAGCCGCCCGAGCCGCCCGAGCCGCCGTGCTGCTGTTCCTGAGCTGTGTTCTTCTGCTGCTGACCTACCCGACTCTCCCAGCCCGGTGAGACTTCCAGCTGCTGCCATGGCCACCCCCAATGTTCTTACTTTTGACGCTGAGGGGAGGGCCATTGACTTTGCCGTCTGGATTGATGACCTGCAGCTGTACTTACTGTGTGATGCGATAGATGAGGTCTCTCTTTTTGACTTTGTCTCTGGCGCTGTTCCTGCCCCACCTGCTGATGCTGACTCTGCCGTTCGCTCCAAGTGGGCGACCCGCGATGCTGCTGCACGTCTTGCTGTGCGTCGCCACCTCCCTTCCTCTGAGCGTGCCCACTTTAGTCAGTGCAAGACCGCTCAGGCCTTGTACGACGCTGTAGTTGCATGCTACTCCTCCCCTTCCTCCGCTACCCTTAGCCGCCTCATGCTACCGTTTCTCTTCCCTGACCTCGCTTCCTTTCCCACTGTCGCTGACCTCGTTACCCACCTCCGTGCTAGTGACACCCGCTACCGCGCTGCCCTTCCTGCTGAGTTCCGCGCTGCGAACCCTCCTCCCATGTACATCACCCTCTACTTTCTCGTCACCCGTCTCCCTGAGTCCCTTCGTGTCGTTAGGGACCAGTTTCTCTCTGTCTGTCCCACCACTCTCACTGTCGACCTCCTTGAGGAGTCCCTGCTAGCGGCTGAGAAGAGTATTGTCGCTGTAGGGGCCTCTCGGGGTGACCCTCGCACCCCCATCTTTGAGGGGTGTGGTCCTTCCCCCCTGCTGCCCTCTGTCGCCTCTGCCGCTGCGGCCGACCTCACTGGTTTTGAGTCGGTCGGCGCGGCGTCTGCCCCCAGCGGCAGACGCCGCTCTGGCAAGAGCAAGGGGGGCAAGGGAGCGGGTGGAGCTCGAGGGGGCGGTGGAGGAGGCGGTGGGGGTGGCGGGGGGAGTGGGGGTGGCGGTGGGGGTGGTGGCGGGAGTGGAGGTACTGGTGGCGGCGGTGGAGGCGGAGGTGGCGGCGGAGGTGGTAGCGGAGGAGGCGGTGGGAGCGGTGGGAGCGACGGTCCTGGTGGGGGAGGTGGCGGTGGAGACGGGGGTGGCGGTGGAGGCGGGGGTGGCGGTGGAGGCGGGGGTCGGAGTGGCTCGTCCCAGCGGAGCAGCTCTGGGGGTGGTCAGCGCCAGCAGCAGCAGCAGCAACAGCAGCAGCCGCAGCAGCAGCCACAGCAGCAGCAGCGCTCTCGCACCGTCCCCGGCCCTCAGCAGCTCCGTGAGTGGTACTTGCAGCGTCAGCGTGGTGGTGCGCTTGGTCCCTGCCCCTACGTTCTTCGCACAGGTGACCGTGCAGGGGAGAGGTGTGGAGGCGCCCACACAGCCCGCCGCTGCTTTGGCCGCCTGACCGACGCCT